GGGGAAACCATGATGGAAGTGGGGAATCTCAGTGTTGCACAAAGAAACCCAGGAGCAAATCAAAAGAAAAGGGTGTTTCATATTCCCAAACCCAGCCAGCAAGTAACTGCACTCTGCCAAGATGGCCCCTGTGTGACTCATTCTCATCTCATTGGTGGGACCTTGATTTCACAATCTGAGTGATTGGTTAATCATCAAAAAGGGAAAGGGAAGTTCAGGAAATAAGGGCCTTTGTTATTCTCAGTACCTTTGGTAGAAAACAAAACAAAACAAAACAAAACAAAACAAAACAAAACAAAACACCCAATGACATTTCTCTCAACCATAAGTTTGAGGTGAGATGCACTTCATGCCAAGTTCCTTGTTAGACATGGTTACACAGCCCCACCCCCCGAGAGCCCACACCCCCTTTCACACAACTTGTCAAGTGGGAAGCAAGAAAACACTAGTGCAATAGTTTTTTGTTGTTGTTGTTGTTGTTGTTGCTGTTCAGAACTCTCACTTGCCTTGTCATGCTCCATGGGGGATGGGGAGGGTCAGAGTAGACCTGGTAACCAGTGAAGTAAGTGTCTTGATATCTACTCCCCAGTATGGGAGGCAGAGGCGGGCTGATTTCTGTGAGTTCTAGGGTAGCCAGAGCTACAAAGATCCTGTCACAAAAATCAATAAGGTTGGTGAGATGGCTTAGCCAAATGGCTGTTCTTAAAGTGGAATGAGGTGGAAAAGACCAATCATTAGATGCTGATTCATTGATTTATTTAGTGACTTACTTAAAGCACTGTTTGCACTGTCTATTGCCAAGATGACTTCACCCGCTACCTGGAACAGAATGACCTGGAGAAATAGCAGAAATCATGGGTCGTTGCCCTTAGCAACCTGCTGACTGCCACGTAAGCGTCTATAAAGTCTCACTGCCTTGCCTGGCCTTACCTTGTAGTTTTACAGCTATAAAACAAGAGAATGCAAACGGAGCTGTGAGCCAGGCCTTCCAGGAACTGTCCTGTCTTCAGCCCACCCATGACCTTTCTTCTACCTTCATGAGTGTCGAATGTTTACTTCAGAAAGACCCCCACGACACTGGTAGAGGACCCTGGCTTGAATTCCAGCACCCATGTGGCAGCTTACGACCGTCTGTATCTATCGGATCTGGTACCCTTTTTTGGTCTCTACAGGCACCAGGCTTACAAGTGGTACACAAATATACATGCAGGCAAAGCACCCACACAGATAAAAATAAATATGTACTTCTCAGCACCATCTAAGAGCTCAGTGATTGCTGGTGGGGAGATTTTCCTTGGTCTGCTGAGTGTCAGGTCTTATTACTGGAGTAGGAGCTGTAATGAGCCTGGGGGCTCTAAGAAGCCAAGCTGGCCCACCCACCTTCAGTAAGCCAATTAGACGAACCAGATTAATAGTGAAAGGCAGAAAAATAGCTTTATTCAGTGAGGCCACACTAGGGAGAAGAACAAAGAGCCCTAGTTAGCAAGCCCTCACCAGTCCATCTTCTGCATTTTACAGGAGGGTAAGGTCCAGGCAGCATCCTAGGGGGAAATGCTGGTACAGCCCACCTACTCTTGTCTCAGTCCAGCCTCTCCTGAAAGGTTGTCAGACAAATCTTTCCTGGGAGAAGATCTCTTCTTCCAATTGCCCTCAGGTCTTGCTCCTCCTCCCCAGTCTGGGCTGCTGGGAGATTCCAATTTTGTGAAGTCTATTGTTTCAACATTCTTATTGGTGAGGGGAGAGAGCAGATGTCTCTTGAGTACAGCCCTGATGCTATCCAGAAGCCTCATACCATTTCCTTTTTGTTTGGCATGGTTCTTATAGATGTTCTACCACTGAGTTGTAGCCCCAGGTTTCCTGCCTTTAGAGCCCACCTCCCACCCCGACTTCATTTTGAGACAGTGCCTTACTAAATTACCCATGCCAGCTGTGAACTCATGGTCCTCCTACCTTGGCCTCGCCAGTAGCTGAGGCTACAGGTCTGCACCACCTGACCCATTGGGTCACAGACTGTTTATTGGTGTGTATCATTGTCCACAGTACTGGCTTTTGCAAAGGTATTTCCTCACAAGTATTCCATATACTGTACTCTGACCCCGTTCACCCATCTGTTGCCTCCCATTTTTCCTCCCCCTCCACATTCTGCTGCTCCATTTTCTCTTGGGCTCTTCTGCTCTATTTCATTTTTATGTATGCACATGTGATTTTATGTATCTGTATAGAATCTAGGCTCTAAATGAAAGAGAGTATAATAGAGCTGGGTGGGTGGCTCCCGTTAATGCCAGCACTTGGGAAGCAGAGGCAGAGGGAAATCTGAATTTGAGGCCAGCCTCAACTCGAAATCCAGTTTCAGGACAGTCAGCACTACACAGGGATCTGTCTTGAGAAACTGAAAAAAGAAAAAGAAAAAAAAAAGAAAGAAAAAGAAAACATGATGTTTGTTTTTCTGAGACTGGTTTAATTCACTTAAACAGTAATCCAGCCACATCCCCTATCCTGCAAATACTATCATTTCATCCTTTGCAGCCAAGTGTAATTCCACTGTGCACACGCACTGCATTTCCCTTATTCCCCTCTTGGCTGATTGTCCTTAACTTGGCTATAGCAGACATGGCTGTACCATCTCTGTGATTTACTGACACTGAGTCCTCAGGCTCAACACTCAGCTATGGTCAGTCTAGCTGCCATCTGCACAGAAATGTTCTCTCTTTAATTTAAGGAAACTCCACCCCCTGATTTCCACTGTGGGAGGGCTAGTTTATGTTTCCACCCACTGTGCACTGTGTAAGTGCCCCCCACACCCTCCCCATCTCCCTCCCCATTCTCAACAGCACTTGCCATTTCCTTAGTGATAACCATTCTGATCTGACTGGAATGGACTCTCTGTATTGTCTTGGCTTGCATTTCTTTGGTGGCTAATGTCATGGCCTAGATTCCATCTTGATAGGATCTAGAATCAACTAAGAAAGAGACACCTTAAGGCAGGTCTGTGAGGATACCTCCAGAAAGGACTTACAGAGAGGTGACATCTCCCCACACTGACTCTAGTTGGATGTCAGAGAAGAGAGAGGAAAAGAGTTTTGAGAGAGATGTGGAGACAGATAGCCCTTCATCGGGAGCTTTATTAAGAGGGTTATTAATATTGCAGACAATACAATGGGCATCCAAAGCAAGAAAGAGGTTAAGTTTAGTTAGACAAAGTTAGGGTACATACCTTAAAGGCTTTCAGTGGAGGGAGGAGCTCCTACATCATGAGGCAGCAGGCTTAGTTAATATGTGACCTAAGTATGTTCATGCAGTCAGTCTACATCTGGTTTCTGGGCTGCAGAGGTGGGGAGGATTCTGTGTCAGCTTTTTGTAGCAGTACCAGGGGTGTGGGTCAGGGGATGGACACAGACAACAGGGGGTTGTGGTTGGAGCTGTTGGGTTGACCATGGACTCTGTGTCCAAACAGTCTCAGCCCTTCCCATTATAAGAAAAGTCACAGAGGGATGGCTTTAATAGAAGTGAGACGGGGGCCCATGCTTCCATCTTTGATGGACATCAACATCAGTCTGCTCCTGATGAACTGGGGTGTCACTGGGTCAGTACCCCCATAGTCAGGTGTTAGCCTCTGAGTTCGGGGTTGGTAACTGGGTTTATGTGTCAGAAGGATATTGTCCACATGTTATAAGAGTGTTGGAACTGGGTTTGTTGAATTCTGGAAGAGATGAACTGTTTCCGTTTATCGGGAATAATGGATAGAGGCACAGAGAAGAGTCAAAGAGCAGGCTTCATCCAAAGAAGGTGTTCTCAAGACCACGATTTAAATGGTTTTGCTCCTTAAGGAACTTTTAAAAATTTATTTACCTTTATTTTACGTGCATTGTGTTTTTCTTTTGTTTTGTTTTGTTTTTGCCTGCATGTATGTCTGTGTGAGAGTGTCAAATCTTGGAGTTACAGTTGTGAGCTACCATGTGGGTGCTGGGATTTGAACCCAGGTACCTCTGCAAGAGCAATCAGTGCCCATAACCAATGAGTCACTTCTCTAAGCCCCTTTCAGGATATTTTTGATAATTCAGTAATTATAAGCTAGGTTAGAGGAGGTTGTGGGGAGGCGTCAGAGAGTAAAGATGGTTTTCCAGTGGGGTTGCTAAAGATGCTCTGTGGTTAATCCCAAATAATTGATGATGTTTCCTCTAAAAAGACAGATTGGCAGGGCTGGCAGACAGATGGGTTTGCTTTTCCACCTACAGACCCTTTACTACATATACAGGAAGGGATTTGTACCAGGTTAAATATTTGCACAGCAAGCAGCTAGGGTTGAACAAAGTCTCACTTTGCAGCCGATTTGTGACTGGACCACAAGTTTGATGCTGTTCTAAGTCTCTTAGGCCAATAACCATTGACTGGCAGAACATTGGAAAGATTGTATGTTTTCCCAAATGCGGGATGTATGTAGCTTCTGCATCTAGTTGGAGGCACATAAGCAGCAGCAAAGGTGTGTGATGTTTAAGAGGGAACTAGCATAATCCGCCAGGTCATAAGCAACGGAGTGTTGAAACAGTTATGATTCAGAGGGAATAGAAGAACCAAAAGGAAAATGTTTAGTGCATTCTTGATAGTGACAAAGGCGTAGGGACTATCCGCTAAAGTGAGCCTGGAACATAAAAGAATGGTTTCACCCTGGAGAGAGTAAACAGGCCCTCAGGAATAATCTAGTATGAGATACAGCTGCCCTGGAAGAACTGCGGCCCAGAGCGGGGGTGTCTCGGAGCATCCAGGTAAAATGCCACTTATCTGATTGGTTGAGACGTCATCAGGAGAGAAGTATCAGATATTTTATTGGTTTTTCAGTCATCTGAGGCAAACTGCAGGACTCGTCTGGCACCAGAGTTCCTGTCACAGGGCTGTTACGTCACACAATGGATGGACAATGATTGACTATTTTAAGTAGCTGAGACAGCCCACGAGAGTTTTGGCTGTGGACCCACAATGCGCTCTGCAGTTGCTGACGTCCATCACCCAAGTTCTCAGAACACAGGTGGCTTTTATTCTGGGAACTTTATAGTTCCCCTGCTGGCCAAACATCACAGTTCCTGTGTGTGGCAAAGAGAATCTCTTGTTCTCTACTGCCAGGAAAAGCTTATTCCCAGGATCTCAGACAGATGAGGCCGAACAGGCCGGAAACCAGTCATCAGCAGAGAGAACCAGTTGGCACTTCATTAAGGAAGGAATGCACGGATCATGCCAAATCTTGAGTCATCATGATTGGGTCTGGTTTTTATCTTGTATCCTCTGTATATGAAATAACATTTGCATGTCACATGTAATAGGAGTATTATACTTAAAATAATCAAGAACATAATATGGCTTAAATCAAGGTAGCAGATAAAGGAAAAAGATACTTTTCTTTTAAGCTTATTTATTTTATACATGTGAACACTCAGTCATTGTCATTAGACACATAGGCATCAGATCCCATTACAGATGGTTGTGAACCATGACATGGTTGCTAGGAATTGAACTCAGGACCTCTGGAAGAGCAGACAGTGCTCTTAACCACTGAGTCACCTTTCTAGCCCTTGAAGAAGATATTTTAAAGTTGGGTTAAGAAGAGTTAACCCAAAGCTTTGAGTGTCTCTGGAGGAAATGGAGTTAGTTACTTTAAGTTTTTCAGAAGTCTGGGTATTATTGTGGGACTTCTTAGAACATTTAACTTAGTTCTAGCTTAATATCATAGCAACATAGTGATATAATTGGTTGGGCCCAATTAATATTTTCCATTACTAGGAAAGTCTGTCTTTGTTTAAAACTTTAAATATATTTTAATTTGAATTAGAAGTACCCCCTAGATGGAATTCTTTTGAAATTTTGTTTTGCTTTTTTTTTTTTTTTTTGACAGGGTCTCACTATGTAGCTCTGGGTCTTGTAATTCACTATGTAGACCAGGCTGGTCTCAAACTTCTGCCTGCCTCTCTCTGAGAATGCTGGGATTAAAGGCACGTACCATCATGCCAGTGTTACTTTTTTGGAAAATTTAAAGTAAGGTTTTTTTTTTCTACTTAAAATTAGAGTTTTAAATTTTTTTAAAAAAAGATTTATTTACTTATGTATATGAGTACATTGTCACTGTCTTCAGACATATCAGAAGAGGGCTTCAGATCCCATTACAGATGATCGGAAGCCACCATGTGGTTGCTGGGAATTGAACTCGGGACCTCTGGAAGAGCATACAGTGGTCATAACTGATAAGCCATCTCTCTAGCCCCAAGTTTTAGAATTTTTAAAAATTAAAATGTAATTACATCATTTCCTCTCCCTTCTTCCTCCAATCCTTCCTGTGGAGCATCCTGCTCTCTCCTGCTCCCCTTTGAATTTTTGGCCTTAAAAAAATGCATCAGTTAAATATCATATATATGCCTACATACATAAACACAACCTTCTCAGTCAGCTTACCGCCACACACACACACACACACACATACACACACACACACATACACACACACACGATTTTAGGGCTGAGTACTTGGAATTAGATAGCCAGTGAGGGTCTCAACCTCGGGGAAGACTGGTCCCCTTGTTCTCATTGTTCCTAGGCTGCCTCTAGTTCTTTGGCTAGAGTTGCTTCCTTCCGCCCACCCCATTGAATTTCTCCATTCCTTACTGTCATCTCTGTTGGTGCTGTGCTTGGTCAGGCATTGTTTAGGCAGCCATGTTGTTGGAGTATCGTGGGTGACACTTCCCTGTCATTTGTACAAGATACTGTCTCACAGCAGATCTGTTGGTGCTCTGGATCTTACAGTCTTTCTGCCCTTCTCTTTTCCTCCATGTTCCCTGAGCTTTAGGTGGAGGAGTTTTGGTTAAAACTAGAATTTTTTTAAACATGAAGACATAGTTTAAGTCAGGTCTAGGTAAGCAAATAGTTATAGAAGAAGCCTAATCACTGTAAGGACATAATACCATTCCCATTTGAAGCTTCACTAAAGATAAGGTTAGAATTTTTTATCATTTGGGTATACACCCAGCAGAGTTCTAAATATCTTGACCAATTTAAACAATAGCTGAATATAAGAAGATTCAAGAAATATACAAGTACAGTTCTTTCCCTCTAGGCTGGAAGGAGTCTTGGATGAGACCTTTTTCCAATTAATTAAACCACCTGCTTTTCTTTATCTTCTGGAAGCTTTCCATGAAAAGACTCCATAAACAATTTTGAATTTTCAGTTACTATGTATAAAATTTCCCTTATAAGAGTATAAATCTTTCTTTAATAAACATGGGTCATATAATTTTTTAACTTAATTTTTAGAAAGTATTTATTTATTTGTATCTGAGTGAACTGTCTTCACACACACACACAAAGGAAGTCAGATTCCATTACAGATGGTGGTGAGCCACCATGTGGTTGCTGGGAATTGAACTCAGGACTTCTGAAACAGCAGCCAGTGCTCTAAACCCCTGAGCCACCTCTCCAGTCCTTAAACTTAGTTTTTAGTAGAACATTCTGTACTTATTTTATAAGGAGATAATGAATATTTTCCTGAAGGGGTAGAGCATAGATTTAGAAAAAGTGATGGGACTATCTTAAGCTAAGAATATAAAAAAACTTTAGTTAATTCAGACAATAATTATACCATTTTTTTAAACCACCACTATAAAAGACTGAAGATCACAGACACAATGAAATTTCCAGACAATAAGCCAAATTTTAAATAGATTTAAAACGTTTGTCCAATAAGGTTTTATGCTAATTTTGTAACTTGAAAAGAATGCTTTAGGTAGGAATACTTAAAAAAAAAAACCTTTCTGTTAGTTCTTTGAGAATTTCCCATCATGCACTTCAGTCTCACTCATTTTCCTTGCCCTTTGTACCCCCTCCAGCTTTGCAACTTCCCATCCTACAAAAGGAAAAAAAAAATCTCATTGTGGAAGTTGTAGTGTGTCGCAGTGTGTCCAACAGTATTTCCTTTTGCCCACATTTCTTTGCTTGCAAATGTTCATTGCAGTGAGTCATTGGCCTGTTACGAGGACTCTGGCTTCTGCTACACTATCAATATTGGATCCTCACCGGGACTTCTCTTGGACATCCTGTTGTTGCCCTGTGTCATGGTGATCCTGCAGCTTTGGATCTGTAGGACCCTCCCCTTTAAGCACTGCAGTTTATCAATGGAATAGATGTAGGGGTGGGACAATTCAAAGCCCTGGATCTGGGCCTGAGAGGTATCTGAGCTGGCTAGCCTGTCCCCTCACCCGAGCCCAAACCACCAGGGGGAGCTCTCCTGCCCTCCTCTGACTGGCCTATCCAATACTGCAGCCTGCATGGGTTAGAACCAGCTGCCCCCAGGTCCTCAAGGCCTGCTCACCCGCAATCCCCATGTCCAGGGCCAGCCCTACTGTACTGTTCAGGCAAGGTTCAGGACGTGCTCTCCTGAGTACCACAGCACGTTAGGAGCACTGTCAGCTCTTCTGCTCTCATGTTCCCAGGACCAGCTTTCCCACAATGCCCAGGTAAGGGGTAGGGCCACTTCTGCATAGCCCTCAGACATACACATATCTCTGAATGGCAGACCAGACCAGAGATGTCTGCCTAGACTTTGGTAGTAACAGACCCCTGCTGCTGCAGGGCCATGGATCCAGATGTGGCCCCCAGTGCCAGCACAGGCCAGTGACACTACCATGATCAGGCTGTTCCTCGTAATCCTTGAGTCTCCAGTTCTGCTTCTCTTTGTTGTGACCGCATTCTTCTGTTTCTTGTTCTCTTCCATTTCTCCATCACTTGCTTGTTCCTCCTAGTGGCTTCTGGGGTCTCTGAGTGTTTGGGGTCATCTCAGGAGTTGGCTCAGGAGTGCTACATCCCACCTGTGCAATTCAAAGCCAATTATGGCACTGGGCAGGGGTCATCTCTGGCATGGTCTTCCTGCCCAAGGCCCGTGCTGTGCAAGATTGGTAGTCATCTCAGGCTAGCTCCCTTTTCGGGACCCATGGAGCTGGACTGGTGGTTGTCTCAGGCTCACTTCTCTCCCCATGTGGCCCTATTCTGGAGTTGTCTGTCTCTGGCTCATTCCTGCCTGGAGCTTAAAGTCCCAAGCGGGGTTCTTCTAGTCTCTGGCTCATGGCCCCAGGTGGGGTTTGTCTGGTCTCCAGCTTGCTCCCCACCATGGGAACCTATCTGGGCCTATGTCCAGACTGGTTATGCCCAGGTTGGTGAGACGACTGTAGACTGTCATCTCAGGCTCGTTGTTTTTTGGGGAGTTTAGACTACTAATCACTCAGATGTTCATAGGTCAGAACAGTGAGCATAGACCTAGTCTCTCTCCTCTCTGCCACCTACTGACATACATGTGACACAGCAGCCACACCTGCAGGGCGTCTAGGGGCAGCAAGAATTATGTTTGTTTGTTTGTTTGTTTGAGACAGGGTTTCTCTGTGTAGCCCTGGCTGTCCTGGAAGTTACTTTATAGACCAGGCTGTCTTGAACTCAGATATCCACCTGTCTCTGCCTCCTGAGTGCTGGGACTAAAGATGTATATATCCCACCACTGCCTGGCTTGAATAATTTTTTTCTATTAGAAAAAATTTTCTATGTCTAATACAGTGGTTAGAACAGGTGAAAGCTTTACTCAATGGGGAAACATATAAACGGCATTAGGTGATTTATTTTTTAAAGATTCATCTATATTTATTTTTAAGGAAGATCTCTTATTTTTGTCTTATGTGTATGAGTTTTATCTGCATGTATGTGTGTGTACCATATGCGTGCTTGGTGCCCAAGGAACCAGAAGAGGGCATCAGGTCTCCCGGAACTAGAGCTTCAGATGGCTGTTGTTAGGAGGGAGTTTCCTGAGTCCGGCCATCTCAGGAATGAGTTCCACCTTGCCGGCAGGATCAAACCTGAGCTCAGGTTCCCAGGCCCTGGAACCCAGCTCCTGTCCTGCTTCTTCATATGTCTCGTGCTTGTCTGTTACCCAGTAAAGGATGTAAAGAGGGAAGATGCTGTTACCCCATCATAGCCTAAACCAAGGCTCGCAGGTCATCAGTGTGCCGCCTGTCTTGACGTAATCGTCTACGTGCAGCTCGCCTACTCCTTTGTTCCCTTGTCATTCTAGATTCCAGGCCAGAGTCCAGGAGGGGACCTGACTGACTGCAAAATCTGACTCAAGGACCCTGAAACTAGGTGACCCAGAAAAGGCCCAGTCACCAGCGTTAATTGGTCAATGCAACAGCGCAGCTACCCCCTTGCTTTGTGTTCCCATCCTATAAAGATGCTGTACAGCCTCCCTTCCGGGACTTGGTTCGGATGCTGAACTGGCTGTGTCCCTGAGTGCTCAGAAAATAAAGCTTTCGTTTTTAAGCTTCTGGATCTGAAGGGAGTTTTCTCGGCTTCCATCCGGAACTGAACAGTTCCGAGTCATCATGTGGGCCCTGGAGACTGAGTGTGAGTCCTCTGCACAGGAGGAACTCGGATCGCTAGGCTTGGTGACAAGGGCCTGTTCCCACAAGCCATCTTTCTGGCTGGCTGATTTATTTATTATTTATTATTATCCATCTATCGAGACAGGGCCCCTTAATGCAGCTCTGGTTGTCTCGGAGCTCCCTATATAGACCAGGCTGGTCTTGAACTGAGAGATCCTCCTGCCTCTCCCCTGTGAGTGCTCGGATTAAAGGTGTGCACCACCACTGGCTGGCCTTTTTTGTTGTTGTTGTTGTTTTGTTGCTGTATTCTCTCAGTTCAATTATTTGCAGTGTTTAAGTATAATTGAGTTGTCCTATGGCAGAGGTGGCCCCTCTCTACTTTATCAGGTCACATGCTTGTGGGATAGGTACAGTTCCCAACATCACTCCAAGAATAAAATCTTAACTACAGTGGCAACTGAGTTAGGGTCGTCATGAAGTGATGTAGGAGCTGGTTAGGAGGTCGGTCCTTTAGCTCCAATAACTATTGGCAGATAAGGAACAAGGGTCGTGTGGTGTGTACTAAGACACTTGTTATGAGAGACACATTTTTGGGTTTAAACTCTGTCTTAGAGGACCTGACCTAAGTTTGAACTCAGGTAGACTAACAGGCTGGTATCTAGCATCAGTTTCCAAGTTACTCCTAACAAAACCTGAGCCTAGCTCTAGTTTCTAGGCTAACCCTCACAAGACCTACATCTCCAGGTTAATCTCCCCAACAAATCCAGCGTATCCAGGTTAATCTCCAACAAGCCCACCCCCTGCCTAACAAGCACCAATGCAGAGGGAAGCAGAAATTAAGTTTATAGTTTGACTCCCAGCACCAGCCAATCATGCTAAAAGTCCACAGTAGCTTTCCATTTAGATGCTTGCTGGGCTAGAAACACTTACCCCACCCCCACTCCACTTGCTGCTTTCTATAAAACCTTGCCCAGATAGATGTTTGAGGCTCCTCTCCACCAAAATCATCCTGCCTGTCGGTGGTGGGCTGAGCCCAAACTTGTTCCAATAAAGGCCCTGATGTGATTGCATCAAATCAGCTCCTGTCTGGTCTTTTGGGGTTCACTAACACTTCCTTGGCACTACAGTTACTGAAGTTGGGATGGATAGACAAATGATAGGTATTGATCAACTGAGAAAAAAAACCAAACTGAGGGAAGTAGATGGAAGACGACAGTGGAGATCTTGTTAGAATCCAAAGTTCAAGGGTTATTACTAAAACATTTGGAAGGCACGGTAAGTCAAAAGAAGAGGGGCTGGTAAAGAAGAGGGGTAGAGGTCGGAGAAGCAGAAGACACATTGTGAATTGTGCATAGCGTGAACAGCAGCGCACACACTTAGAATAGGTGCAGAAAAACACTGCACAACTGTGAGGCCTAGCCAAGCAGTAAACCAACATCACCATCTTAATCCTTTTAAGAGATTCACACAAGAGAGAAGATTAAAAAAAAAAAGTAAAATAAAACTACAACAGATAAGAACTCTGTTGACAGTCCATGTTTCTTCCTTGATGGAACAGATTGCTTTGATACCTGTCATGCTACATGTAGCACCGTGTGCTGGTGGAGGAGGGACAGATTGTAGTCCAGGCCAAACCTCTAAAACTTGATTAATGGGTATCCAGTTTCCTGGTAGAGTTTAAACAAACTGCCTTTTGATCAAGTGTCTGTCCCTGGACTGGGTTTAGCAGTTTCTCTCTCAGTCTCTGTTTTGTTTACTAGACCAGTAAGTGATACTCCCCTCCTGGTTACCCTGGAGAGTCAGCTGCAACTTTACATGCATCTGCCTGTACTGATCCAGCATCTCCCTCCCTGCTCATGGTGTCTCCAGCCCTCGGTCATGTCATCAAAGCTGGTCCCTCTCCAGCTAGCTTTTCATGTAGTATCTGTAAGAGTTATAGTGGGCAGAGAACACGGAGAGAATGAAAGCTCAGATTGACCTCAATGGCAAGAGCAGCGTTCCAGGGTTTGGATGCCTCGTGACCAGAGGGACAGTGTGTGAGGGGGCTGGAGAGCACACAGTCTAGAGGCTGAGGAGATTTTGTTATTGAGTGGGAAAGGGAAAGGACATGGCTTTGCCAGACCCAGAAACTGCTGTGGATAAACTGCTTTTCAAAACTGTAGGGTGGAAGATAAGCCCGACTGCCTGTTTTTACAGCCTCTGGCCCTAGGGGCTTATGGTGGAAGTTAGATATTTTCTAGAATTCTCTCAGTAGCAGGTTTTCTAGAACCACGGGCCTATGTTAGGGCCCTTGTTTTGGAAGGATTTTTCCTTTATAAAGTATAGGGAGCACCATTTTGGATCTGGCTGCTTCCTGCTGATGGGTGTGTGTGGGTATTATTTTTGGTTCCTGGGATGGAAGGACTGCGAAAGAAACATCATCTTTACTTCATCTTGTATAGTGAATGGGATAGTGTGGGAATGTGATTCAGGAGGAACTTCTGCAAAAAGTTTAAAAGACACAGTAAAACCGTCAATATGGTAAAACTGTCAATATGGTAAAACCGTAAATAGGTAAAGCCATGAATATGAGGATAACTAGGAGCAAGGGGTGAGCACTGGGAGGAGCTACAGTGGGAGAGAACTCAGAGCCCATCAAGGAGGGGACTCATTGCTGAGTTCTCTGTGTCTTATCCTAAGTCTTTGTTTCCTGTCTCAACCAACTGTGATCTGTTGGTGTAGAAGCAGCAGTATTCATGGAGGTCCGTGCAGATACCTCCAGGGGCATGAGTTGGAGGGCTAGCCCTCTTTGACTGAACAATCAAGTTGATCCTGAGTGGGGTTGAGCTGATCTGACATTTCTTTAATTAAGGCTTTCTGAGAGCTGGTGAGGCAGAGAAGTTGACTGATGTAAAGAAGCCCTCCCCCTCTTCCAGCTGTTCTTGTTCTGAGACCTGAAAGGAGCCCCAGAGAGACAAGCTGGACATCTTTCTTAGACTGGGGTTTTGGGAGGGGGGGGGATGAGGGAAACAGTAGGTGATATAATGTACAGGTACTTGTGTAGGTAGTTATACCCATACAAAGATATTTGTTCTGAAAATCCAAGAGTCTTGTCTTGTAAGAGAGGCAAGGCATGGGACCAAAGTGAGTTATTTGGTATAGGCTCCTATTTCTAGGGCAGTTTTTCCTTGTGTGGTGGAGCCAATGATACCTGTAACCTAGTGTTTAAATGAGTGTCCGTAGTTAGCTGGTCATATGGTAGAGCTCTGTATTATCTTTATTTGAAATTGCTCTAGGACACTATAGAGTAGGTATTGAACTCTCAACATTGGGATTAGGTTTGCTAAGAGGAGGAGAATTGCAGGCCGGGATAAGGGGAATGGCCAACTGGACTATTGTGGCGGTCCCATGCTAGTTGAGTAGGGGTCTTAGATCTACTTTAGACTGGATGCAGTGCCATGCAAGAGCAGAGTGTGTACATTTAATCCATTTTCCATAGCCGGGTTTTATTTGTACAGAAGGCTGTATTGTGAGAGAGATAAACTGGCCTCTTCCTCCAATCTGGTCTCTATAAAAAAGTAACATTTATATTTGACATGACTATAAATACAGTTCTAGGCATATCAAAGACATTTAATCACTTGTAAGGTGAATGTTCATTAACTTTTATATCTTAATTGCCATTGTTTTTTTTAACAGTTTATAATAAATTAGAAGCTCCCATAATATTAGGATTTTAACTAAGGTAACTTAATTTTGCAAAGATTTTGAGTTTTAAGAAACAACTGTTTTTGAAATTCAAGCTCTTTTTACTATCAAAATAAACATTAACCATAAATACAACCCACGAAGAAACTCCAGGGAACCTTATATCTAAAGTGTGGGTGCTGGGAATTGAACCAAATTCTTTTCATTTTAATTATGAGCCTTCAAGGGCTGAGTTATCTTTCCAGTCCCCAAGATTAGTTAGTTTAAAAAGAGTCAGTGCACATCTTTTATCCCAGTACTCTGGAGGCAGAGGCAGGAGGATCTCTGAGTTTGAGGCCAGCCAGGTAAGGGTTGATTTGGCTTTATACTTGCTCATTGCTATTGTCACTGAAGGAAGTCAGGACAGGAACTCAAGCAGGGAAGGAACCTGGAGGCAGGAGCTAATGCAGGAGCCATAGAAGGGTACTGCTCGCTCCTCATGGCTTGCTCAGCCTGCTTTGTTATAGATCCCAGGACCACCAGCCCAGGGATGGCACCACCCACAATGGGCTGGGTCCTCCACATCAATCACTACTTTAAAAACTGTCCCATAGTCTTGAGTACAGCCTGATCTTCTGGAGCCATTTTCTTTCTTTAATTGATAACAATGTTTGCTGAGCAAGTTTATTAGTAAATCCTTTATAGCATCAATTTTATTTTTTAACAAGTTCCTCTTGCATCAAAAGAACATCTGATCTTGAAGGTTCACCCTGTGATATCTGTAAGTTAATAAAAGTCGTAGGTACATGGCACTCTGCATTTATGATCAGGCAAAATCAGGCTGGCCAGGGAAGGTGTCTGCATTTACCAATGTCTAGATTTTTCCCATGTCGGTTTGGGATCTGAATTGCACAAAAGTGTCTACCCACTTTCAATTTATGTGTATCCGCAGATGGGAACAGACAACTTGAAGAACTTATTAAGTATTTTTACCTTTACATGTCCCCTTTGGCCTCCCTTCTAAATGTGTAAGTACTTATAACCTAGGGAACATTCAACAGAAAACGATAAAGCAGACATTTAAAGGGATCAGAGAGTGGGCGTCAGAGGGGACCCATCCCCATTACTCACTTTCCTGAATTTCACCAGCAGCAGATTTCCTGGAACCTGGGCCTGTTTTAGGAGCCTGGCTGTGGGGGTGGGGGAGAGCAGATTTTCCTTTAGTAGTGCTCTCTCTGCGTGACTAGGAAGCCTTTTCCTGGAGGCTTCAACTGAGTCAGC